ATTGTCAGGAGAGACCAGTCACTGGAGAAGGATGTCATGTTTGGTAAGGTGGAGGGTCAGAGAAAAAGAGGAAGACCCCCAACAAGATGGATTGGCAAAGTGGCAGCATCGATGGACTCAAGCGTGGCAACAGTAGAGAGGCTGGCCCAGGATCGGGCAGTATTTCGTTCTTCTATGCACAGAGTCACTATGAGTCAGTACCAACTCGATGCCACCTAACAACAACCACCTCCAATTCATAATCGACTTCTAAGTAAAACATCCTTGCCTGATCTCTGGGAATCTACTACCTTTTGAAAGACACATTCTCTGGAACACTGTTCTGAATGTCAGAAGGCTTTGACCATCTCTGTATTCATTAAACATTTTAGGTTGTAGACAACATTGGTATGAACCATCTAATACTTTTAATACAATTAGTCGCCTTTTCCACCACCCTCAGTAAAATTAGTGAGGATTCTGGCATTCCTTTGGATGTGACTCCAATGAAAGGTGTCTTAAGAAAATATTCAAGTCAGAATGGCTTGTTCTATTATAAGCTTCTACATTTAGACATTAAAATTCCTATACAGGGTCGCTATGGGTCGGAAACGACTCGATGGCACATAACAACAACAACAACATTCAGAGAATTCAGAGGATCCTAAAGGAACCAGAGACCACCTCTGATCAACTTTTTAAGAAACCCTTAGAATTCTCTCAAGTCTTTTCCAGACTGCTGCCTCAATCTTAATTGTACCTCTGGACTTCTTCTTTAAGTGCTGCTGTTATCCAAATACAGTAATTATACTGATTCTAAGTCATGTATCTTGTGCTCCACTCAACGTACTCTACCATCTTCCTCTCTTTAAAATCCTCATTTCACAAGTTTACAGTTACCTATTCAATAAACACAGCATGTAGACTAATTTAGGGGCATTTCCTTGCTTTTATGCCTTTCATGTTGTAATACTCTCCCCAACTCTTCATATCTTCAAAAAAAAGGTTACTGATGAATTGATTCCAAGTCATGGTGATTCCATGCCTGTCAGAGTACAGCTGTGCTCCAATGGCTGATTTTTGGGAAATAGACTGCAGGGCCTTTCTTCAAAGGCATTTCTGAATGGACTTGAACCACCAACCTTTCAGTTACCAGTTGATCATGTTAACTGTGCACCACTGAGGGACTCCAAAACTTCCTCCCCTTGCACTTTATCAATATCCTCTCTTTAACCGTTCCAAGGAAGAAAGACAGGCTGTTAGCTCCAAAGATTTATAGTCTCGGAAAGCCTATGGAGCAGTCCTACTCTTTCCAAGAAATGTTGTTCTATGTATCAACTTCAAGGTTCTGGGTTTGTTTCCTGTTTTTTTTTTAACACCAATTCTAACTTCCTAAATGACAAGGGCTATTTTATTCATCTAATCCCAAGTACAAAGCACAGTGTTTAGCACATAAGCAATATATATTTGTGGAAGGATTAAGTACCCTGACGATTAAAATTATGGTGGCGGTGTCCTGTTGAGTCAGTTCTGACTCATAGCGACTCTGTATAGGGTTTCCGAGGCTGTAAATCTTTATGGGAGCAGAAAGCCTCATCTTTCTCCCACAGAACCACTGGTAGTTTCGAACTAGCTGACCTTGAGGTTAGCAGCCTGACTCATAACCACTACGCTACCAGAGCTCCTTGATTATAATTATAGCCAACATTAACTGAACATTTCCATGTGTCAGAAACTATGCTGAGCACTCTACATGCATCAAAACATTTACTCCTTGCAAGATAATACACATTATTATCATCTACATTTTACAGATGTGGATGATGGGGTTGGGATAGGTTAAATAGCATGCGCTATGAGTCGGTACTGACTCGATGGCACCTAATAACAACAACAATGAAGTCAAAAGTAGAGGAGCATGAAGCTAAACAGATTCTCCAATCCCAGAGTCTGTGCGTTTAGCTCTCTACTCTGTACTGCCTGAGTTTGGCTGGTCTTGTACTGGGACTCAATGTACACACCTGTAGTAGCTCACACAATAACATATGGTTCCTGTCTAGGGTGAAGTGTGGTGTGGCACTGTGGGACTGGACCGTATGGTCGGTTTGAACCACAAGGTTGGTGGTTCAAATTCACCAGCCGCTCCTTGGAAACCCTAGACAGGGTCGCTAAGAGTCAGAAACGACTAGCTAGCAGTTAACAACAATCTAGTCCAGAATGAAGTACTCACAAAATTTCCTGACCATGAGAATGACTCACTACTGAGTATATTTCAGAAAACACAAAAGCAACTCCTTTGGATTTATCTGTCTGGGCACAGAATGAAAAACTGCAACAGTGATTCTCATGTTGCCGCTCCAAATCCAGCAAGTCTGTGTGAAATTTTCCCTTCT